TAATAAAAGTAAATAGCTGAGTTTAATGCCATATCCTGTGGAAAAGTAAAAATAATACCAAGGAGAAAATGAGTAGGTTGAGTAGGTGGTGTAGTCTCAAGCAGAAACGTTAGTGAATCATGTTGTGTAAGTAAGAATAAATATTGAAATATAAATTAAAAGAAATATTTAAAGAGTATTTTTGGTAAATGCAGGAGTAGTTGACAAGAAAATGCTAGACTTCTCAACTTATACCAATAACTTGTGTCAAATCCTATGCACGCTTTTGAAAATCTCAATATTATAAAAAATAAACCTACAAGAAGTGACTACAAATTTTTGACTCTGAAAATAGGCAGTGACTCCCATCTGCTGCAAATCATGTATTAAATATCGTACCTGTTATTTTAGTACAAGGCAACTGAAGCTGTCATTCAGACGGTTATAAGTAGCTGGATTTAAAATGTTGATGTTTGGTCGATACTTGTGTCCTTCATGACACATCTCCAATATCTGATCAAAATGTCAATGGCATTTGAGTTGAGACTTGCCAACAGAGAACAAGACTATTTAGAAATTAATTTGACCATTGACTCTGCCTGGTTTTATGTCCAACTCAATGGGGCCGGTCCGATCAATGTTGTATTGATGTGCGGCTTCCAGACACAAGGAGGAAGTGAGGAATATTAACAAGGACATGGTGCAGCTGATAGAAGTTAAAGGTGCATTGTGTAACTTTTCTGGTGGAGGGTCCGTCAAATGCTTTTCTCCATGGAGATGTTATTGCTTTGTCTGGAATGTTTCACAGTATGGTATTAAACCATATTATCTTTATGGAGACCAAAACCAGACCAAATTAGAGGTTGAACAGTTTTTTTGTTTGTTTTGTTGTTTGAGTTTTTTCCACAAAACATACCCTAAAATTATGGTTGATAAGTGGCATTTTGTGAACAGTTTACACACAGGATATTTGAAAGGTCCTATATTACACAAAATTGACTCTTGTGAACTGTAAATCACGTTAAAATGTTGTTACCTCCTTTCATTCACGTATGTTTGAGTAACACTTTAGTTTTAGTCTGTCTTCATCTCCAAATGGACCAAAATGCTCTGTTCCACCTTGTGATGTCATGTAGTGGTAGTTTTCATGTTAACATCTAAGTACTACCCTTTGTTTAGTAGAAATTGGCATTTCCAGGGCTGAAATTAGCCAGATAATTCTAGTAAAGCTGTATGGAGCATTTCTTCACAAGGTAGAACACTTTTTTTTCCTGTTTGAGAGAAGAGCCAAAATATGCAGGGTTTGTGTGTTAAACATGTGTGAATGAAACAAATCACAACTCCAGGCATGTTTGTGATGAGGAAACTTTATAACAGAGACCAGAAAATTGAGTAATACAGGCCCTTGTGTTTGCAAATTTGAAAATTGCCTTTAATTATAGTATTTTTTTTTTTTTACTGCTGCTATGACTACTGCTTAGACATTGAATCATGCCTAACAGATTTACATAGATATTCTACTTATTATTACATGAATAGTACAATGAAATGTTAGAAAGGATGGCGCCACCTAGTGCCTCCGCTCAATTTCATTTTTCTCTAGTGACTAGGTCAGGAGTCGGAATACACTAGACCACAGGTGTCAAACATAAGGCCCAGGGGCCAGATCCGGCCCTCCAAGACCTTTAATCTGGCCCTTGGCTGATTTTCTACTAAAATATTTTAATCATATTTTCTTTTAAAATATTGGTCATTGTCTGTGGTGTTTATCACAGCAGCGTCTCCAGAGCCTCTGTGCGTGGCCCCTCCCACCAGAGCAGCACAAATGAAGACTTGTCTCTTTCCAAACGCTCTTAAAGGACGATCGTTTTGACTGTTGACCGTGACACCCTCATCAACAAAATGTCAAAAATAGAAAAGTGGACGCCAAGTGCAGGATTTTCCAAGAAAAACTGACTTATTCCTATTTGCAAACAAGTTCATGTTAAAACATTGTGTTGAAATAGCATTTTTTCTCATAATATTATAATATTTTGTAAAAGAAAGAGTTCATCAATTAAAAAAGATTTCTGTAATAGATTTGCGTTTCTCTGCACAAATATTTGAACTTATTGCTGTTTTTGGGGTTTATATGCCATGAGTTTTCTGATCCGGCCCCTTTAGGATAAAAGTAGGTTGGATACGGCCCCCGGACCAAAATGAGTTTGACACCCCTGCACTAGACAGTTTGCAAAAACCCTGGAAGTGCGAGTTTAGGCACCAGCCAATCAGTGAAGAGCTGTACATTCTTTGTTGGTAACAATTCCTGAGATTGAGGATTTAAAGCCGAAACAAAGAGAATGTTTGGTGAATTTTATCAAGGGGAAAGACATTATTGCCCTTCTTCATACAGGATTTGGGAAAAGCTTAATATACCAGTTAGCCGCATTAGCAGAGCATTACATACGTCACAAACAAATTGCAGCGATTGGTTGAAGTAAAAAAAAGTACCTGCCTACCGTTGTGCAAACGAATTCTAATGCTGCCTGATCTGACGGTTTCCACAAAGTGAAACCGGCTGATGAAATGTGGCTCTGTTAATCTGAAAAGTAGATTTAATACCAAGGCAGTAGTATTTAATACCAATGTAACCCCAGTTTTGTCCTTCTATAGACTAAAATCCTATTTGTGTATTGTGCCGAATGAACTGAAATAATTTGTAAATACAAACAAGCAAAAACGTTACAACTTGCTTCATACTGTGCTGAAATCGTCGTGTATAGTAAGGTGTATGTAGCTGTGTGCAGTGTGTGGTGAAAGGGCTCTGTACACTTCAGTATTGATGTGTCAGCCATTTTTGCTCCAGTGATTTTAAGAGCACACAGGAAGGAGGATAACCTTGGGACAAAATACGAGTGTGTGTGAGGTTACAGCGTTTGCACCTCAGATTTAAAGCACAGGTTAGATTGAACAATATCTACAGGGCTTGTGTTGTTTTAAAGGAAAAGCCATCTATAACTTTGAAATGTGGTCTTGGTTTATAAGTGAACACATGAATTATTGAGTTGAAAAATTGTGGTGTATGTTTGGTCTCTATTTATTGCTTTTTAAAGGTTTGTAGGAGTAAAGAATATGTTTTGTGAAATATCCAAGATGGTGCAATGATAGTTGATAATTTTTTTTTATACTTTTATACTATTTCTGATCAAGCCCATTCTATAACTTACTTTGAATGTAATTTTTTCTGACAACTTTAATATTGTAACTCCAACCACAAGAGGTCAGAACATTCTGTTATCTGTAAAATTTTACTTTTGCGACATAATCCTTGCTTTGGTTGGCGTCCATCACAATTTGACCAGGTCTGAATCAAACCTGTTCTGTAGTTTACATGTAAATCTGACATTTGCAAGTCTATTTATTATTATGTAAATAAGAGAGGTTTCTTATTGAAATAGAATGAATAATAATGTATTTATATAGCACCTTTATAGACACTCTAAGCACTTTACATTGCATTATTAGGCCTATTCATATACTCGCTGAGGCAGATGGCAGATCACATTGCGCATGCATTGGACAGAAACGATAAGTGAAGTATAGTATGCATGCAGGAATATCGACTCTGAACACATCTCTACTGTGTGAAAAGTTACACATAGTTACATTAAGAATGATTCAGGTAATAGGTAAATAATAGTAATATAATAATAATAGGTAAATAATACCTAACCTAATGTAATGCCCTAACTGGCATTTTTAATAAGCCATTTCTTCATTACAAATTAAATCTTTGTTCAGACTTTATTCAGACTATTTAAGGTGTTAAGGTGTAAGTGATACAGAATACAGTAATTTCTGCTAGTAGTAGTTGTAATGGTATTGAAGGATGGGTCAAATGCAGAGAGCAGATTTCCCTACAGGGACAATAAAGTATAACCTATAACCTTAGTATTTCTGTAATGTAACAAAACTAACTGCATTCAAACTCCCAACCTTCTGTTTAGAGGGCTACTGTTCTACCACTTGAACCACCGCCACCTCATACTAAGAATAAAAATAATCTGGTCACTCGAATAATAAATATAACTTAGGGTGGGTTGGGATGGTTGGTATAAATAAAACTGTGAAAAAAGCGAGTAACATTAGACAATGTTACTTCTCCATTCATGTGTGGGTCAGTATATACCTGAAAGACTTTTTTGTCTTATGGTCATTTTCAAGCAATCTTAAGTAGTACTGGTTTAGACCTGGTTTAGACTTGGTTTAAACCTGGTTTAGACCTGGTTTAGACTTGGTTTAGACTTGGTTTAGACCTGGTTTAGACTTGGTTTAAAACATGTCTAGTCTTGTCCTGATTTAGACTTAGTTTAGTCCTGGTTTAGATGTAGTTTAAACCTGTCTTAGATAAAAATTAGTCAATAATAGGGACACATGGTTTAGTCCTATTTAGTCCTATTTAGTCCTGGTTTAGTCCCTGTTTAGTCCGGTTTAGTCTTGGCTTAGTCCTGGTTTAGACCTGATATAGTCCTGGTTTAGTCCTAGTTTAGTCCTGGTTTAGATCTAGTTTTGTCCTGGTTTAGACCTGGCTTAGATCAAATTAGTCAAAAATAAGGACACTAGGTTTAGTCCTAGTTTAGATCTAGTCTTGTCCTGATTTAGACCTAGTTTCGTCCTGGTTTAGACTTGATTTAAAACTGGCTTAGATTAAATTAGTCAAAAACAGGGACACAGGTTTAGTCCGGTTTAGTCGTGGTTTAGTCCTGGTTTAGACCTACTTTATTTCTTATTCAAACCTGGTTTAAATCAAATTAAGCAAAATGTGGACATTCTGGACATTTCTTGTATAAAACTGGGAACTATTCAGGGCTTGATGTTCTCCCCTTTTGTCTCTTTTTCTCATCTATGTATTTTTATTTGATTTATTTTATTTTTTTTTCTTGAATGTTAAACAGTTAAAGCCAAAAAAATCAATTTAAACAGCTTGTACATCCCCAGCTTACACACTCCCCTTTCACAGCCCCACACAGCTCATGTCTTACCTCATCAGGGCTCTTGTGGTAACTCTGGCTCGTCCAGTCAACCAAAGGTCAAAGGTGCCACTTGGCTGCCCACATCTTCCTCTCCTCTGTCCATCACTCTCCCTCTCTCACTCCCTCTTCTTTCACTTGTGTAATTTACTGCATCCTCCTGCTCTCCATCGATTTTACCTTCCATTTTTTTCTCCTCCACGCGGCGCCATGTGAAGTCAGACAGCCCATTGCTCTGTTGTCTAGCTTCCTTTTCGAACAGCGAAAGAAAAAACGAAAAAGACAAAAAAACAAAACACAACAACTGAAGATTACCATGTAACTCAGCGCATGGCCGTCTATCTTCTTTTCACAGCTGTGCGGCTTCTCTCCTCCGGGGGAAGCCTGTGGTCAAAAGACACGCGTGAAAATCCTATCTCGCCCTCTCCTCCATCCTGTCTTTTACCCGTTTGCCTCTTGCTGTTATAGTACAAAGGTCTCACGAAAGAAGAACTCACAGCTTGTCCAATGCGGGTTTGAAAGCACCAGCGGCAGCAGTTCGCACCAAAATAAAACCCCCTCCTGTCACAGTGCTCTTACTCTGAAAAGTTCCCATCTGCTCTGACCTAAATATACCTTTCATTATATACTTCATGCATCTTCACTCTCTCCCAGTGCGTTCATTTCGTATTGGGCTCTCGGCTGCTCCTTTGTGTTTGCAGGGGCTGAGCATGCACCAGAAGCTTCCTTGATCTGAAAACAGCAGCACAACTTGTTCCCATGTATGGCATTGGAGGCATTAAAGATTCAGAGAGGAGATATCAAAAAAGACATGCACTGATTTTGAAATAGGCTCTGCTCTCCTGGCTGCTTTTCTCCGAGCTGTGTGCAGGACATAAAGTACAGTTGGATTTAAATGTTCAGAGCTGCAAATTAAACACATTATTTTGGGCTTGTTGATATTTAAATGACTGTAAAGCATGAAGTACAGTAACTGGTTTAGACTCATTTGTATGCAGTTCACATAGTGCTTATGAACACACTTTTTTGTTAAGGTCAATTATGGGCTACAAATAAATGATCGATTTAATCTATATATAAGCCTCAAAAATGCAATGATCCTACCTACAGCCACAAGAGGTCAGTAAAGCAAATGTTTCAATGGCCATAGAATTTACCCCATAATTACAAAATTCTTTGTTTAGATTCAGGTCTGGCACTAGAGCCTTGCAAAATAGAAAAAGAAAGAATGCACGGTTTCTATACTGACACCAGAATGGTTAACACCCTTGACAAATCTCATTATGAAATAGCCCACGGTTAAATTGTCTAAACTTCTGAACCCAGTCAACAATTAAAGATGGCTTCTGCGACTTTTCGGTTGAAAGCTGCTCTTTTGTGGATCTAATAAAAGTTGTTGTTTTCAGGTGTAATTCGATGTACTCTTATACCCACATCGCCTTCGGGTCGATCAAAGCACTCACAGCGACTAAACCGAAGAGATGTGACTTTTATCTTGGTTTATACAATGAAAAGCCCCCGGCAAAAACAAACCGCGTTAACTCGAGAGGCTGTAAACGTCTTTTTGGCCCGTTGAGAAGAAACATGTTACACACACATGCTCTCAATGTTTCAGCTGGCCTGGCTCCTTCTTTGTAGTTTCAGCTGCGCTTGTGAGCTGAAAAGGCCATGTATTTATGCTCAGACTGGAGGTTTATTCTGACTGAAGTAGAGTTTTTCATTATTATTTTTCTGATGGGAACAGCGCACGAACCTGCAGTGAAATATGCCAGTGGGCCAGTTGCAATCAAAGGACTATTATCGGTCAATAGTGATGTTCGTGTGCATTATATAGGGCCCATCACTGCGGCCTGTCCGGGCTTTATTTGACGTATACGGCTCCTCGCGCAGCAGACGTCTAACCTCTTCACCCTCGGTGATTTATCTCTTGGGACCGAGGGCTGCTCCGTGTGACACGTCTTAGATTTATGTCCCCATAACGTGACCAAGTCCCGCGCACAAACACTCAATATCTCATTTTCTCCCGCCACCCCTTTCCATTAGAGCCCCACCACACGCACGCACGTGCACACACATGTTGGCACGCTCATGTACACGCACACGTGCGCACACACTCAAAAGACTTTCATTCATTCACCTGTCCCAGCTACCCGCCCCCGTATCTCCCATCAGCCTCAACATGTAAATATCATGCCACGTGGGCTTCGGGCTACAGGTGCCCCCTCCCTCTCGCCTCTTCTCCACGTACACCCCCTCCTCCTCATTTCTGGGGCGGGCAGCAGCGCTGCAGCAGTTTTATGAACGGCACGGATGCACCATGCTCCGCCGCTCGCACTGGCAGCTCCGCGCCGTTTCATTGACAAACGCCCCGCACTGTGCTGTCTTCACTGCTGCATTGGTGTCACGGACAACGAAGAGGATCATAGGGGCACTGACAGAGGAAGCAGAGACCGCTGCAGTGAAAGGAGACAGCGGGAGCACGGTGTAGAGCGCGCTGTAAGCTGTTGATTCGCGCCTTGAACCCGGACTGGATCAGCGTGTCTCCCTCACGCGCTCTCCCGGGACAGGCACGAGAGTGGGGGGAAGCTCCCGGACCCCTGTGGGGGACCTAGTGGATTTGGTGAAGGACTTCCATGAACCGGACGCACCGATGGAGGAGACCGAGACTGCAGCGGCTGCGTGTCTGATGCGAACTGAGCCGTGGGCGGCGTAGACCCCCGCCCTGCACCCCTCTGTTCCCGCCGTAGCCTGCACGCTCCAGCGGCAACATGTCCCGGGCAGCGGCCATCGCCAGCTCGCTCATCCGTCAGAAGCGGCAGGCGCGGGAGCGCGAGAAGCAGAACCAGTGCCGCGGCAGCGGCAGCCCCAGCAACAGCAAAGGCGCCAACGATAAGCCCAGCAAACTCAATGTGTTCTCACGGGTCAAACTATTCGGCTCGAGGAAGAAACGGAAGAGGAAGCGACCTCCAGGTTCGGGTCAGGACCGTGTCAGCATCACAACATCTCCACTGCTCATCCATCTCCTCAGGCCACAGGCTGCTTCACATCTCCATCACTGCACTGTCCATGAGTGTCCACTGTCTTATTTCCACAATGTCTCCATCTGTGTCCATTGTGTCCATCAGGTCCTTGTGTGTCTCCTCTCTCCATCACCTCCATCTCTCCATGTCACCCTGGCACATCCAGCTGCACGACTCTGTCCCATGAGCTTGGGCTGAGCAGCAGAGCAGCTGAAGTTAAGGTTTCACAGTTTGTTTTTGAAGCACATCCAACATGTTTAGGCTCGGTGCTGGAGACCCACTTAGAACAGCAGCTTGTTCTTGTGTAACAGGGGCTCTGTGTTTGTGTATGTGTCTCACTGCTCTCCTGTTCCCCCCCAGAGCCCCAGCTGAAGGGGATAGTGACCAGGCTCTCCAGTCGACAGGGCTTCCAGCTGCAGATGCAACCGGACGGCACCATCGACGGCACCAAGGATGAGGACAGCACCTACGGTAAGCTTGTCTGCATGGATCCAAAAAACAGTAAACAGCTGTTCATCTTTGCCTGTTTATGAAACGTGACAGTGCAGAGAGCAGTGTTTTTACATTGTGAATTTTATGTTTTAACACAAAAATTTACAAAAATATTTTCTCCTAAAATTAAAGTACGATCTTTGTAGTTTTCTCTATTTTCTGGTTAAAATTTGTAACATTATTGATTGATATTTGATTATTTAATGTGGTACTGCACTGATCAATAATGTGGCATTGTGCATTAGCCTATTTTTGCTGTTGTTAACAAAAGTTGGCATTAATTGAAGTAAAATATTTAAAACCTATGACATTCATGAAGCAATGATTCAGTCCATGTGTTTCAGTGATGTATTATGTAGATGCATACATATGTAAATTATGTAGTTATGTAGATTTTACAATGACAAGCAGCAGCATAACATCTCAGATACTCATTTCAGTTTGTTCAGTTCAGCAAAAGTTGCACTCATACAACAAATAACAACAAATGGAAACAGATGTGTGTAAAAAAGCTAATTAAAAGATCACATGTTCAACACAAGTGCAGTAAGACCTCCGCTCTCCTCCTCCACAGCTTTCCTAAATGCAAGCGTCTGTGTTCTGGCATTCAAACAATCTCGCGCAAACAGACGGCATAAATTTCCATTAAAGTTTCCCTTCAAAGCGACGCCAAGCAGCGTTTCAGGAGATTGGCCCATGTGCCATTTAATCTCGAAGCCGAAAACCTTTAGTGCTTGTAAATCACAGTGAAAACATCATTCACACAGAGCACAGAATAAAAGAGCGGTTTTGTTTTTGGAGATAATTATATTTGGTCTGAATTACGTGGCCCTTGGAGCATGTTGCTTTCAGATCCGATGAACGGTGCAATGTGTCCAACGCTGAAAAGCAAGTCTTGGTTGATTTGATTGTAATCCTGAATCTAATTTCAAGACTGGTTTTTCGTTTGAGGGGAAATCTGACAAGGAAACCCAAGGCTCTCCAGTACAGAAGCAAATATTTTGTGCTAGCAGGCTCAGCCTAGAGATAGGGTTAGCTATAAGGAGTAGACAAATTCATTTTCTTTTCCATTTAGCTTTGTGGAGATCTAGCGGACTGCATTTCCTGTGTAGTTATTATCAAGGCATTGTAACAGATGAGGCTATAATAATAATGTAATATAAAACAATGATTAATGCAAGTTATGTCTTAAAATACCCAACAATAAGCGTCGTACATCTTCTTTGAACATCCATGAGCTTCAATAATTACAAGTTTGAGAGGGTTCAGTTAGTACAATTAATGGAGCAATTAATCATTTGAACATAGATAATGCAGATCATATTTATTTCAGGGAGTATTACTCACTAAGGAGATTTAATTTATTCTCTTTTGTGGGTGGGATATAGAATTTATCCCTGAACTAGCGAGAGTCTAGCCTGATTCATCAGCTAGTTTCACTTCGGGGAAACTGTTTGACCTCGCAGCATCAGAATTCATTCACTCGACGGTAGGTGGGTACTTTTTTTATTTAACCAATTGCTGCTATTTGGTCGTGATATACGTAATGCGCCGTTAACGGGGCTAACTGGTATATTAAACTTTTCCCAAATCCCATAGGAAGAAGGGCAATAATGTCTTTCCCCTTGATAAAATTCACCAAACATTCTCTTTGTTTCACCTTTAAACCCTTGATCTGGATCGTTGAATCGTTGCCAACACACAATGTAAGGCTCTTCGCTGAATGGCTGGTGCCCGAAGTCGCACTTCTGGGGTTTTTGCGAACCATCTAGTGTATTCCAATTCCTGACGTAGTTGCTGGAGAGAAATGAAATTGAGCGGAGGCACTAGGTGGCTCCAGCCTGACTGGCGAGAGTCCCCCATCAAGGCGAAATTATTGTCGAGCATATTTGTGTGCAGGCAGATAACACATTTTGATGTATGATACAGTACATTGCTGAAGTAAATCTAAATGACAGACATTACTGAAACCAAACCATAAAGCAGACCTATCCCCTAAAAATGATCTAAATGTACAATATTATTTGAAAATATGAGTAAGTAACACAAATCAACACTTATGTAGTTAGGTTGTAGCAACAATGAGTCATAGAAGTTCATAATTCTACCTTCTATAGTTCAAATCTGATCGAAGTAAAAAAAAAAACTAATATTCCAAATGTGCACTATTACAAAGAAAAAGTAACCATGATTAATATTGATCCCCAAAAATTATTGTTCGATATTCTAGTAATTATTGTGACAGGTCTCTTTGTGTCTTGCTTCAATTCTTTATATTTCAGTACTGTCTGATTATTCTGTGACTAAACACCTCTAATATTTATTGTTGGTGAATGAATCTACATAATCAGTGCATGCATGGATCAAAATTCTCAGCATTATTTCCTCGGTAGTGTAACAGGTCCTGTAATTTTCCACGATATCCAGTTCGACATTTCATTTGGTGAATGTTATTTGAGTCATTTCATTTGCAAACAGCTGCGTGTTGTTGTGAGAATACCGGAGAGACTGGCTGTTAATGGCAATCTTCTCAGTACAACATCGGATCCCCCCTGAATGATTGAAGACGCTAGTACAACTTACATATAATCAATTTAGCGCTATCATCCCCACGCGTTCACACTCCACAACATGTGATTGATACAGCTAATTCTATTACGTTGTTGTGTCTCTGACTCCATCACTGTGAGCTCGGAGCACAGTTGGTGTTGCCAGCATTACACATTAATCTCTGCTACTTCCCAGGCCACCAACTGTTGTGCACAAAGGCAAGCAAAAAACAAAATACTAGCACTCAAACAAGAGAGGGTGAGGAGGTGCTTTTAAATAGAGCAAAGGTTCCCAAACGGTAGCTTATAAACAGTAATCCTTGTGAATGGTGGATTTCTTCAAGTTGTACAGAAGTGGTGTAGTTTAAAATTTTATTTGTCTCGTTTAGTCCTGGTTTAGATTCAGATTTTATATTATGCATTTGTTTTTAAGATGGATTGGTTTAGTCTAGTCTTTGGCACTACACATTTTATTTCTTTATTTATTCATTTATGTATATATTTATTATTATTTTACTATTTCAGCCTGATTAGCTCTTAAATCCTGGTTTAGTGACTGGTTTAAACCTGGGTTCTTAATTATTCTCCAGTTAGAGTTTGAAGTACTTTTTACTTCAGCCTAAACCCTCTCAATGATCCATGGAGTTGTAGTGCTTTTTTGTAGTGCTGCAAAATGACTAAATAATTACTACTACTACTACTACTACTACTACTACTACTTCTAATACTAATACTACTGCTATACTAATACAACTACTATTAAAATTACAATAAAACTTTTTTTTGGACAATTATTAGTTTTACAATTTGTTATGTTGTTGTTGTTGTTGTTTGTGTTCACCTCTTTATTAGGTTGGGTTCATGTTATGTTGCAGAGTTCTAAACTGTGTATCTATTTGATTAGGAGTAGGGAATTTGCCTTAGAGCTGTGTAGACCCTCACCCTCCATCTGTAATGATGCCATTATATTCTAGAATGTGGTGAACCTTCTCCATAGTTGGGACCGACAACAATCCCATCAAGAAGACGTATTGCACTTTTTAAAGATGACCTTTTAATCTTCTTTTTAGAGCTGTGAACAATTTAAGAGTTCCTGACAGAATTAGACGATTCTATGGATTTGTACCTATATCATGAAACGCCTCCACATGTACAAGCGCCGAGCCGTGACTCCGGTGTGATTGGACTGATCCATGTAATCTATTCACTGGCTCACAATCATTACAGAGAACACACCGGAATCAGAGCAATAAGAGTCCACCTGTCAAACGGCCTCAGTAATTATGTTTGTGTCACACACAAATGTAAATTCTGCTCAGCTTCTGCCCTAAACATGACAACAGAAAAAAGGCATTGTCCAAAAAAATTAACATGATTTTTTTTCCTCTTGGCTCTTTCATGTTGGAATCCCTCTTCAAGCTAAGTTAAACAATAAACCATTTCAAAGCTTCTATTTACTCACTCAGTTTTATTTAGAGTGATTCATGTATGTTTGAGTGACTTTATTCTCCTGCATTCAAGACTCCATTGCTCCAGTAATTCCTGTTTTCCCTCACCCCTCATGCACGCCCTCAGGTCTGTACTGACTAAATGGGAATACATGTAAGAGTCAGCAGTGCTGTACATCCATTTTGGCACAAAATAAAACATATCCACTACTCAAAGCCTATAGCTGCAGCTGTAGGTGGGGCTGGTCCAGTTGCATGGCATGATGACATATTTGGTGATTTACCTTAAAATTGAAATCAGCATCACAGTTTTCAACCTTAACCCAGTGGACTAATCTTTTATTATGTTGTTTTAAATCAAAATGCTATTTAAAATGTTTTCAATTTTAATATCCATTTTAGTATCCATTCAAATTGCAGTTTTAATTTAACTGTCATTACACCTTCCATTTAGCCAAAACGGAGGCACAATGAACTATCCTTATTGTCATATTTTACTGGATTAGCCGAACAATGTGATGTGAATGTTAATAGTTGGGCGCTTGAAAATGAAACAGTACTGATTCTCAATGCTCCTTTTTGACCTTTAGTGTAAAAATATTTAAGCACACAATAGATAGGCACATAATCTATTGTTAATGTGCATTTCATTGGTCATTGTTTTGATTGTGATTTATTTTATTGCAATTTTATACAGTCTGTTGAGGCCACAGATTCAATGCAGTGAAACAAAGTTGAAGGACCAAGACTTTTCAGTGGTGTTTGATCCAATTAAAATCGTGCCCAGTAGATCTTTATTACAGTTCATTCTGACATACCAATCACAGATGCTAGACAGAAACAGCATACAGTAGCTGCCTCATTAAAAAGGTGAAGTTTTGGACGTTTCTGAAGACAATATTCAGCTTTAATTTGACATTTACATACATTACGGTTGATCATTTAGAGAGAAGAGGGTTGAAGGAGATGACATGGAGTTACT